GATCTCTGTACTACTAATATATCCTCACATTATCAGTTTCAAAGCATTTCATAAAAAAGTAGAAAAATTACGGCTATATCTATCATATTGGTCATTTCACGTGTTGCACGTGAGCGCTCTTGCAAGCACGTGCGCGCAAAATGACCTTGACTAGGCAAATCTACAATACATGTCTACTAACCCTAAAAAGGTTTTTTACCTACATCGGATGAACAGTTTACAAGATCATTCCCGGACAAAAAAGTACCCAGGAAGAAGAAGAAAAATAATAATAATAAGAAACAGAGTAAAAACAATATGTTCCCCAACTTCGTTTGGGGAACATAATAATAAGAAACAGAGTAAAAACAATATGTTCCCAAACTCCGTTTGGGGAACATAATAAGAAACAGAGTAAAAACAATATGTTCCCCAACTTCGTTTGGGGAACATAATTAAGGCACAACTGTGTATTGAACCAAGACTTATTTAAACGTAATATTATTGATAATCCTTATTGCTCTTGTGGCAAACAGGAAGATGCTTATCATTTTTTCTTTGTTTGTAAAAAATACCTTAATGCTCGAAGTAATCTTTTTGACTATCTTTTTCGACTTGATGTAGACATCATAAATGTACACCTACTGCTATGGGGCAACGAAAATCTTTCAGTTGAAGTAAACATTGGCATTTTTGCCGCTGTTCACAAATTTATAAATGAATCTTGTAGATTTAACTAGATATATTATTGACTCTTATTTGTACAAGTTTTTTTTCTACTTTTTGCATGACTATGTGTTTATGTTAAGGAGAAGAACTAGTAAGTTGTTAGAACTTGTTTCTTATCCTTTTGCTTGTCAATAAAATATGTTCAAAACAAAACAAAAACAACACGATGCAAAAGTAGTGTGGGTTAATGTCATAAAGAGTTGACATAATGTAATGGAAGGTTGACACAATGCAATAGTAGGGTGGGTTAATGTCATAAAGAGTTGACATAATGTAATGGAAGGTTGACACAATGCAATAGTAGTGTTCTGCTATAAGGCAGTGACGGCGTTCCATAGTTATATAATTATTGACCCCAGCGCTGCATTCGTGTATTTAATCACGTATAGTGTCATATACAATATCTATATTTACTAGCTAAGAACTAGGTTTTCATCATGATATGAAGATTCCACCTCATGACTTCAAAGATCCCGGGACTTTCCATTCCAAGTATTAATTCCTAGAAGTTTACAAGGATTTACCAGCAGAGAGACTATTTTTTTGAAAGTCGAATTAAAATGTCACATTCCGAAGAAAAGGGTAAGTTCTATATGTTTATTTCAGTTTAAAAACAGTTCTTGAAAGTTTGGTCTATTTTTTTCTGCATACACAATAAAGTATCATGTGAATGTACCTTTCTACATAGCAAGTATGCGTTTTATACGACAAGCACTTGAAACATATAACCATGATAACCGTAACATTTTAAATGCCTCATACATGTATACATAGGGTGTTGCTAAAACGCGGAACGGAAAACGGAACGGAAAGCGGAACGGAACGGAAAACGGAAAATTTTTGTCAAACAAATAACATAGATTCGATATAAATAAGATAAAAAGAGCAATATTCTTGTTGTAAAAGTCATTTCTAATGAAAATTTATTGTAAACTTTTATATATTCATGAGTCATAAATACCCTCCGTGGGAAAAATGGTACTGAAAGAAATTCGAACCCCCCCCCCCCCCCCCCAACACACACACACACGAAATAGGATTTTTGTGTTTGCATGGGCAAAGGACATATACCCCCTTTTTTCGCTTGTCAAATTTGTTGTATGTTGGAAATTTGTTACTGACCCCCCCCCCCTCTTTCAATTTGTTTCCAATGTCAATATCTTTAAAGACAAAAATAGCTAGTTATGATATTCAGATTATGCACACAGTGTCGAATTTGCGAATCATGAAAGAGAGAGTGGCAGTTTTGGGCCTGTGTAGGGACCCACAGCCACAATAAAAATTGAATTATTAAAGCTTATGTATATTTTGGACACAAAAATGGGGCAGACCTATTACAACTTCTCAGACCTTTCCGATGAGGGGGAAAACAAACTCATTTTTTACGGGGTCATTCATATAACCCCCCCCCCCCCCCGAAAAAAAACCCCATACACACATACGTACCACAAACAAACACAATTTAACTTCACTGAATGCAAAGATTCTGCATTATATCTACCACATGAACTTTTTCCAACTTTGTCTATCCAGAATTTAAATATATAGAAAGCGGCTCTATTTTGATTAAAATTTTAACATTTCTTTCCATGGTTCATCTTTATATCAAATATTTCTTTCCCCCCCCCCCCCCTTCCCCGCCCCCAATCATAACCTTTTTACTACGGAAATGTTCGTTCAAGTTGACATCCTCATACTTTTTGTGAATGTAATTAATGTAGTAGGTTATTATAAAAAAATAGCACTGAAAGATGTTGGAGTTGGAACTTATTCCCCCTCCCGAATCAATCAATTGTCTTCTTTTTGTGTTTGTGCTTGTCAAAGTAATACTTTTCAAGTTTGTTTACCCCTCCCCTTTTTTTCAAATTCGATTCTAGGTGACTGCTATGCTAGCGATTATCGTAAATAAAAGACTGAGCATGACAAAATCAACTTGTATTGATTGAATATGTACAAGATATATCGTTTATGATAAAATTTGTGTATTTTAAGTGATTTAATCCAAAATAGTATATTCCGTTTTCCGTTCCGTTCCGCTTTCCGTTCCGTTTTCCGTTCCGCGTTTTAGCAACACATTTTCAATATTCAGTTTGAAGGTTTAAGTCATCATTTACATTACTTACTAGTACTTTTTACAATTTATAGCTAATGAGAAGATATTTTATCTTGCTTTTAAATTTATAAAAACAAAATCCCAAGTTTTCAAATAATTGAACAATATAAAGTTATTGTTTATCACAAAACGTTACTCGCTGTATCATCGTTAGACACTGATATCAAGAAGTGGGTTTTCCCATTTTTAACGCAGAAAGGAAGATACAACATTGAAAAAAAAAAATTATTCCAATTTGAAAAAACTGAAATGGTATTTTTTGCAAAATGTGCGCATGCATCTTGCAGAATTTACAAGAAGTCCTGCGGTTGCCAGATTATCAGAGGAGGATATAAAGTCCATTTCAGAGAAACTGAGACTTAAACTAACGCCAGAGGAATCCAAAGCAACATACGGTATGAGAACGTACATTCATTTAATCTTAATGAGTATTGTATATCTATAGCAAGCTTAATACAACCCTGTAAAATGAGGATTATATGTGTATTTTCATTTTCTCGATTTTCATGAAGAAATTGAGTATTCATGATTGAAAAAGTGCAGTTTGTTTTGTTATCGGAAATATAGAATTTTGTAATTTTTAAATCATATATGCTTGAACTAGAATTTCAGAGAACTTGGTTAAAATGTAATTTGTAGAATTCTGTGGAGATATTTCTAAAGGCTATCAAAGGGTCTATGAACTCACCCCACCAACTTCTACCGTCAAATACCCAAGGACCCCCGGCTACAGAGAAACAGAGGATGATTCTTGGCGAGTTTTTTTTTTTTTTTAAATAGATGAATCTAGAATTCGATTCAGGATTGTGTCAAGCTTTAAAAACCGTAATACTTGTATATTGCATATATACAATGAATTATTTCAGATTTTAAAATATATAATGACCAGTATAATTATTCATTTCGAGTATGTTATCTTTAATAGAAATTGTATTTCGTTTTTTTAGGTATTACAAGTGTGACATAAAAGGAGCTAATAATGGATTATTGGCGGGAAAAACAATTGCAATCAAAGACAACGTGTGTGTGGCTGGAGTTCCTTTGATGAATGGAAGTAAAATTCTTGAAGGTTTCGTACCTGATAGAGATGCTACAGTTGTTACAAGAATATTGGATGCAGGTACATGTAGTAGTAGCAGAAGTAGCATTGGCGTCGGAAGCAAATTGAAAGGGGGGGGGGGCTAAGTGTAAGAAAAATTTTTTTGTACCTCCAAAAAAACCTGACGAGCAAAAAAAAAAAAAAAAAGGAAATGTCTATTTCCCTGACACGAAAATCCTATTTCGTGGGGGTGGGGTGGGGGGTGGGGGGTAGGTTTGAAGTCCAGTACCAAAAAATTTCTTCCAAACACCAACACTTTTCCCAATTTTAACCTATACTAAGACGTATCTGTGGAAAGTGGGGGGCTAAACTTACGAAGATATGTGCAATGTCTATACTAAGTATATATTTGGAAAAAAAGTGGGGGGGCTAAGCCCCCCCTAGCCCCCCGGTTCCGACGCCTATGAGTAGGAATACAAAAAATACTAGTATAGGTAATGGTAGGCCTAAAAGAATTAGAATGTCCCATTATATTAGGAAAAAAATATCTTAAAATACATCCTATGACAGTTTAAAAAAAAGAATGTACAAGTGGTTCATGTTATAATTTTTATTTATTTCAGGAGGGAGAATTACTGGAAAGGCTGTCTGTGAAGACCTGTGTTTCTCTGGCTATGGATCTACATTACCCTTAGGACCTGTTAAAAACCCTCATGATCCAACAAGAACAACAGGCGGATCTAGTTCTGGATGTGCTTCTCTGGTAAATTAATTGTTTTCCCCTGTTTAATTCATGCTTTAAACATGCATTGTTAAAATATGCTACGTATGTCTCGTACACTGGCTTGCAGTATTCATCAGATGCACGTACGCCAAGAGAACCCCAATTTGGTGAGTTTTTTGAGTTTGACTCAATTCTAGATAACATTTTCCTCCCCTTGTTCTATATAGGTTGCCAGAAATGTTGTTGATATGGCAATTGGTGGGGACCAGGGCGGATCCATTCGTATCCCAGCCAGTTGGTGCGGCATCGTGGGACTGAAGCCGACATACGGATTGGTTCCCTATACCGGGATAATGCCGATAGAAGTCACTCTGGATCACACTGGACCGATGGCCAGGACGGTAGAGGACTGTGCTACTCTCTTAGAGGTGTGCTGTATTAATTATAACTAATTTATACAGTAGACTCTACTGTTATTTGTTTATTGTTTGCATAACCATCTTTCTTATTTATATGACAGCTTTGACTTTCAGGTGATAGCTGGATATGACAGTGGAAATGATCCAAGACAATATCCAACTATGCCAACTTACCCTTATTCCAAGTTGGTAAGTGGATTGCACTCTTTGATTTGAACCTTATATCGGTATGAACTTTAAATACGAATATTGTTTGAATATTAAACATAATTATGTGAAATTTTCGTCTGGGTTAACAAAATGACAAATATTGAACAAACTGGATAATTGAAAATAATTTATATTATGTTATCACATGAAATCAGGGTCTTCTTTTGCAAAAAAGCCATTTCATCAGATATAATTGTAAAACCAAATAAGACATGTGAAATGAGGAAAAAACTGCATTTGATACCTTGTCCAGTATGTATGGATATACTGATTAACTGATTTCCTAAACTTCCAAAAGGAAATGTCATTTTTTTGGCAAAACGTTTCAAAAAATTAAAATTCCAATATCAGCTAATTTAGAGGATATGATAAATTACACGTTCTCACGTTTTACACCTGCTACATATTGAAAACGCCTCCATTAAAATTGAATTTGATTATGAACTAACTTATACAGTGTAAGGATATGAATTAATTTACTAAGAAAGCTATCGCAAATCACAAAAGACATTCAAAAAACATGAACTGAATAAAAACTTTGTGTAAATTGTAGATTTGTCATGAACTTTATTCTCGGAATACAAAAAGCCTCTCGAGACTGCATTTCTTACCGTTTCTTACAGGTTAATGATGAAGTGAACGGTAAGAGGGTATTCAAGGTAGCTCTCCTGAAGGAAGGTTTTGAAGATGTAGAAGAAAGCTTGGCAAATATTGTAAGGGATGCTGCCTATAAACTCAAGGAAGCTGGTGCGGAAGTGCACGAGGTCTCCCTCCCAATACACAATGATGGTATAATTTATTTATACATATTTGCAATCCTTTGACCATTTCAGTTGTTGAAACATTCCTTTTGTTCATCAGTATACTATACTATGCGATGTTTTGGTATTTATTCCTTTGAGCTCTTTAAAATATGATCAATGCTTGTATGATTTGTAAAGGTTTAGCAATCTGGACAGCCATTGCCTTTGAGGGAACCTACCAAACTATGGTGAAAGGAAATGGTAATTAAATTTGCATTCGTACATTTTTTTTTACCACTTATATTGTTCATGAATGTTAATTCAAGCCAAAAAATGACTGATCATTAATGGCATCAAAAGAGTTAGCTTGCTGAAAGCTTCACTTATAGATGAAAGTTTATCAAGAAGAGAAAATACTCAAGTAATTCTGTTCATATGTTTTGCATTTATATGGAACTTACGTCAATGTTACATAGTCAGTATCTCTACTAGCGATTGGTGCCGCGAGATTTGTGAAACTATATATGATAACAACTATAGTTAACGAAATCAGTGTAAATTATAGCTTACACATAAAAATCAATATTTATCAATAAAATATATTGTTAACATTATTTGCAGATAAATAAACTTAGATTAGCATTTTAAAACTACACTTTACAACCGTTAAAATACTTTACATATGAAAAATGTAGTTAATAAATCTTTAACTATAGTTTACAGTTCGTAAACTATTATAGTTAATAATCAGTTAAACTACAGTAGTTTATCAACTGTTTAACTATGTTTATATAGTTTTTACGAATTTGGCTTGAAATACTTATCTGTCCGTCTTCGCATTACCTTGATTATTTTCTTAATTTAAATAATCAAGAAAAGTTTTCATTCATTTGTTTAAATTGTGTAGTAACAAATTTTTGCTACACTTCAGTATATTTAAGAAAATAGAATTGTCCTGAAAAATATACACTTTATAAAGATCAATCATAAATGAACAAAGCAACATTTTTTACAAAAAAAAAAGGCTTATTTGAATTGGAAATTAATATAAAGCAACATCTATGAATATATCATCTAATCACTTAAAGAGAAAACTGATGTTTTTCTAAATGTTTGAGGCTATGATGGTCCCTGAAATTGTAGTAAATTTTTTATTCAAAATTTTCTAAACAAATCGTGCCAACAGGAAAGAAATGCTGTGAATGCATGAGACAACAAATGTGGTACAGTATGGCATCTTGAAAAAAGAAGTGTCTGAGACTGAGTGAAATAAATACTCATAATACAATTTCATAATATTTTTGCTTGTTGTTTGCTTAAAACTGCATTTTTGTCATGGACACAAAAGCTTTATTATTGAAATAAAAATTACTTCTTCTGACCGACCCTTATTTTTGAAAAAAAAAATTCCGTAAACCAAAAAATTAAATAAAAACTGTGTCCACCTGCATGCGGAGTATATATATCTCAGTTGATTCGATACACAAGAGCATGCTCTACGTATGAACAATTTCTAAAACGAGGTTAATTATTGACAAGCACGTTGATGAAACAAGAATATCAGCAGTCTCGTTTAAAGTCATCATTTCGTAAGTTCTAAGGTCGATACAATGACCTTGTCAGCAAATACAATTTAATTGCTGACTGACGTTTTTCATACTAATTGTAAGTCCATTATTTATACACTGAATTGACGACGGATTTTCCCGTTATTTCCTGATCATGACAAGGAGCACACGGCGGGTGACTGGTCAGCAGGGAATGCTATCTTCTCCTGTGGCACCTGATCCCACCTCTGATGTTTTGGAGGTCCGAGTTTGCTCTGCTCCTATTTTGTATTGTTTTATGGACTTTGAGATTGAATAATGTTCGTTATCTCCATATCCTTCCTAAGGGGCCTGGAATCATCAATTTTTGACAGTTGCTGCATGGTTGTCTCTCAGAGTGTGTGTGGTTTATTTTTACCAAAAATGCAGATCATGATGACCTACTTTTTGAATTTAAAGGTACTTGGACACAGATTTGAAGTAAATATTTCCTGTATAATATCACGAATTATATATTTTAATAACATTTCGCACAAAAATTAATTAAAAATCTTATTTCATTTAAAAGTAATTAAAACTTTAATTTTTTTTGGCGGGTTTGACACATCTTTGCACTTTCAAAAATTTTAACTTTATTTTTAATCCTTATGAAAAGTGGCAATCTTGTGTATTAATGAGAAATATTAAAACTTTAATCCAGAAAAATAATTTTATTCAGAGTAGAAATGTTAGAAAACAAAACTCCTTCACAAGAATCGTCATTCGGAGCTAATTGTTTTGTACAGAGTTTAGCAAATCGATCACACTCGTGTTATATACACAGTTTTTTGTAAACAGGGCACGAGCTCTGTTATTGTTGATGTTTACGATTCACCGGGTGTGTTCAATCGTCAAAGTCTGCTCACCACAACTGCACTGACTGACAATATATCGTGTGTTTGTTTTGCTTTCGAACACGTCTATTCTGAATTTTCTGGATTATAGTATTAATATTTTTCATTTATACACAACAAGATTGCCACTTTTCCTAAGTATCGAGAATAAAATCAAAATTTGTGAAAGTGCAAGGATGTGTCAATCAAACCCACCAAAAAATTTGAAGTTTTATTACTTTTAAATGAGATAAGATTTTTAATTAATTTTTGTGTGAAATGCTATTAAAATATATAAGTCGTAATATTATAGAGAAAATATTAACTTCAAATCTGTGTCCAAGTACCTTTAAAGGCTTTATCTAAATATAGAGAATACTTAATAACACATGTAGGATTTAAGTAATAGTGATAGTTCGTACAATTTATCAGAAGAGCGATTCAAGACCCTTGGACCTCTTTTACCAAACTGCCTTTTTAAAATGATTTTAGAAAGATTTAAATTTAAAAATCTTGTTCCCAATAGTTATCTTTTTAATTTCGAATGGTTGTTTTGTATATTTGTAAGGTCATGGATATGGTTGGAAAGGAACCTACAACCTCCCTCTACAAGAAAAGCTGGCAGGTGCTTTTAATCTTCGTCCGTTTGACTGTCCCCTACCTGTTAAAGTCATCATGCTTTTTTCAGAGTATATACAGAAAGAGTATCAAAACAAATTTTACGCCAAGGGTCAGAACTTGGTCCAATATTTGACGATGGAATATAACAGACTTTTGAAGGATTATGACGTCATGATCATGCCTACACTGCCGAGGATGCCATCGAAACTCCCGACACCAGACACATCAATTGAAGGTTAAAAAGACGAAATTGTTTAATAGACATTGACTAAAAATTTGTACACATATTCACATATTCCAAAATGTCATAAAGAATTGATAATTTATCAATTCAAACCACTGGAAAATTACGTCACGTGATTATAATAGTTCAATTTTATTTCATACTTTTTCAACTGAAATTAATTTACAGAATATTAAAAATATGCGTTTTTATTATACCAGCAATACTCTTCCGTTTTGGTAGAAGAGCATACTTTGAATTTACGAATTTCTTTTCTTTTAGAAACCCTGAAGCGTCAAAAACTAGTAAAGAAAAATGTAGCCCCCTTCAATGCCACAGGACACCCCGCTCTCACCATAAACGCAGGCTTCATTGACGGACTACCTTGTGGAATGATGATAGTGGGCAGAATGTTTGAGGAAAGTACTATTTTACAGGTCGCTCGAGCATTCGAAAAAATTCGAGACCGGACCTCATAGTTCATAATTTCATTGGAGGCGGATTAAATACGTGTTAATGGATTTGTGTACTCCCTTTTCATTGTTAACTCTTACTGCAATTTGATATTGAGTATCAGTACATGTATATAGATATTTAAAATAAAGATTGTCTCTCATTTATTTATGATTCATTTTTCTATCCTCTAATGAAATACAACACGGGGATTCTAATATTACGATATTCCCTTTGAATTTTGAACTATCTAAGTAAACTTCTTTGCTGCTCCTTCTTTGTTTTGTTTCATGTAATGTCAAGGTAATAGATAAAACATTGCGATAACCCAGAATTCAAATTATTTACAAACTCACAGTAGGACCAAAAGGAAATCGACTTTAACTTTAAATTAAATAGGACGATTTAAAATACCCCAAATACTGTCAAGTAGCTTTATCAACTAGTATTATGCAACTTAAAATCATACGACTGATTGAAAGAACTAGCTAGGTCATGTATGCGACAATATGTTCATGACACCACTAATGGACAAATACTGTAGCTCGCATCGACGTATCATTGGAAAGAAAACAAATTCTTATATTTTTATTTTATCTGAGTTGATAGCGAAACATATGATTAAATTATTTATATGGTATTTCTCAGCTCGTCCTTGATTTCAAGAGAAAACTTTTAAAACTTTTTTTTTATTTTGATTCCAAAGTTTATTTTTGTCATCGATTCTCTAATTAAGATGAAGTATTCGTACGAAATTCCGTTTATTAGTCTTCATTTGATGAGGCCATGACCTTACAACAAAGCTTAAAATTCAATTTTAATCACAAAAAACTTGTGATACTTAATTTCTGATTTAAAATACTTTTGTGTCCATTCTCAATTATCTACATATATAATATAGCTGCTCTTTACAAACAAATATTTAATAAGCAAACAATTATATATAGTCGCATTACCTTTGCACAATTCAAATCATGTACTAAAGGATCAGAATCTCGAAGTTTATCATACTATTTCCATTACATAATGAATAATGAATGAATTTTCGACTATGGAAATGCAAGGACAAAGGGACAAAAATAGGATAATTACATATTAATTTAGACAAGATTGTCTGCATTATAGTGGTTGAAGAAAAGTTTTTTTCCCCCAAAAAAATGCAGTTGAACATAATTTTCACTTAGAAGATGCTGTCCCTTCTTCAGTACATCTAGTGTGGATGGAATAGACTGCTTTAAATATGTGCACAAACAACAAGCATCTGAATTTCCGAAGCAACTTGATTTTTATTACGAATATTGCATGAGGAACCAAGGTAATGTCTTTGTCTGAATAGTTTGTAGCAGAGTATGTCTTACTAAAAACAATGCATAGAGTTCTCCCTGGTATTAAATTAGTACGAAAAACTTTAAACATTAAATTTCAAAATTTGGTCTTATGAGACCGACCCTTTCCTCTTTCTTTATCTCTTTCTCTGTTTGACATTAATTTCTCTTATGATAAAGTACAAGTGTTAATTTGAAAATTGAAAAAAAAAAACACTGTGTTGTCTGAATTGTCAAATAAAGTAAAAGTTAGTGCCACGAACGAATGATTTGTCAGGTCATATATTAAAAAAAATTATTAATCTTGCTGAATAACAAAGAAAGTAGTGTTGTATATAAACCCAATCTGGCTTCAATGAATTTTTGAAAGTAGTAGGGTATAATATTCGTGTAATCGTTCTTTGTTGAAAAGAAATGGATACAATATAGGTATGGCACGCCAAATTCACAAAAATTAGCTAAACATAGTTTCACAGTTGATAAACTAGGCTTATCAACTGTAAACTATAGTTTACAAACCGTGAACTATAGTTAACAAATTAAAAATAACAATTCGTTAAATATAGTTTTCATCTGTAAAACGATATATTTAACGGTTGTTAACTATAGTTTATGAATGATAATCTAAGTTTATCTGTCTGTAATAAAACGTTAACAATAGATTTTGATGATAACCATAGATTCACGTCTGTAAACTATAATTTACAATCGTGAACTATAGTTAAGAGTTGTTAATCATAGTTTCACAAATCGTGAACCTGTACTAATATTTATCAGATCGTTAACTATAGTTAAGAGTTGTAAACCATATAGTTAACAAATCGTGAAACTGTATTATCAGATAATCTTATTTTGCAATCGCAAATGATTGTTTTCAGTATTAAGAATAGTTTACGGGTCTGAAACATAGATTATCGCGTTTACTATGGTTTACAGATGTAAAATATAGATTAACGTTGTCAACTATAGTTTGCAGTCCGTAAACTACTCGTACAACAGATAAACCTGACTGTGAAACTGTGTTTAGCTCATTTTTGTGAATTTAGCGTGCCATATAGAGGATATACTTCGGTCATTACAGATAACGACTGCAAATGTGTAAGCTAGAAATCGTAATCAGTGTTTGTTCGATTGGATTTAAGGCCAGGTTGATTTTGAGTCAGCTATCATAGTATTATGTAAGGTATTTCCATCCTCAAACTTTTCTGAGTTCAAAGTTGAAAAAGTGCATTCATTTTCACTGAATATATTTCATATAAACTAATTATGGCTTAAATGTTTATGTTGCCATATTTCTTAAGATGTAAGACACAAATAAACAGAAGTATATTTCAACATTAAAAATTCGAATACTTTTAGTAAACAATGGTAAATATAAGATTAAAAGTGATTCAAATACATGAGCATTGTGCCGAGAGTTCTGAAATAATTGCTTCTTCTACATGTACAAATATAGGAGCTATTGCCCTTAGCAATTTTTTTAAAAATTGAATAATTGATAATTAAAGAAATTAATTAAATTTTATAATCTTTAATCAAATAATTTATATTTCACCTTTTGAAAGGCATTTATCCAAAAGATATAATATTTCTATTGGGTATGAATTTAATTAAATAAACTGATGATAAATTTTGCAAAAACAAACATCAAAGAAAGATGGAGATATCTTAAATTGTACAACTTGTACTTTGGCGATTTGAACACTTAGATCTTAAGTTTAAAAATATAATTTCAGCATCCTTATATTAAATATTGTAATCTTTTTCTCATGTGGCTTCTATGGATCTTCTCCAGACTAAATAAATACTCCAGGAGTATTGTGAAAACAAACTCAGAGCCCCCTGCCAATGAAGAAAAGCACCTGCATGTGTATAACCACCAGAATTCTACAGTATCTCTATCTTTGATATGTTTTTTTCCTCTATGTCAATGAGGATAAAATTTTGATTTAGTACATGTAACTATTGTATCAATCATAATTTTTAGATTAATTTTTAAATTTGATCATCGAAACTTTTGCGTTGAAATCAATAAGATAAACATGCGAATGTGTCATCGCTAGTCTGTTACTGACACAATGGGGAATGATTGACTGGATTAGTTTGTTGTTTGACAGATTTAAATGTTATCTGACTTTATAAGTCGAAAATATGACCCCGATGCTGATGCTTATGACAGAAAAAAAATCCCTCTACTGAAAGAGGTTGATGTTTACAATCGCAAAACTGAAGCACTGGAGCACAACGAAAAGAATGGTTGGGCAAAATCTCGACCGCGTCGCATATGCATTATTGTGAATCACGTAGGATATCATATATATTTAAGTTTTACTAAAACGTCATGATGAAAAAAAAACGGAGGCACTGAAGCACAAAAAAGTCCAGGTTGGACACAATTTCTACCCCGTCGCATATGCATTCGTGTAAATCAAGTAGCGTAATATATACAGGTTCTACTAAAACGTCATGATAAAAAGAAGGCTTTCTTCCTTATATGAAGATTCCACTCCATGAATTCGAAGTGCCTGTCTACTCTGAGTATTAATAACAAGAAGTTACAGAGATTTGCCAGAAATAGACATTTTCTTATTTCAATCAAAATAAAATGACAGATTCAGATGAAAAGGGTAAGTTGTACATTTTTTTTCCAGTTTAAAGACGCTTCATGATTGTTTGATTTATTTTTCATTCACAAAAAAAAATTATTATGTAAATGAACTTTTTCTGCAGTTGTCAGATTATCTGAGGAGGATATAAAGTCCATTTCAGAGAAACTAAGACTTAAACTAACGCCAGAGGAATCCAAAGCAACATATGGTATATCGCAAATATTTAATCGGAATTTTAATAATTATGAAAGATATCGCTATTAAATAAAATTTCATAGAACTATATTAAGAATATTTTCATTCGTAGAATACTGTGGAGATATTTGCAAAGCTTATCAAAAAGTTTTTGAACTCATTCAACCAACTCCTACTGTCAAATACCCAAGGACCCCCGGCTACAGGGAACCAGAGGATGATTCTTGGTGAGATTTTTTAATGAATATATCCAGAAATTCAGAGTCGTGATGTCCACTATACTTTAGAAAACGGAACATGCTACATAAATACATACTATGGATTATTTTGAAATACAAATATTTATTACACGTCAGTTCGCGAATAGTACATGTTTCCTCAATATATTTTGCTTGTTCGTTGATATTAACGTTAAATTCCCCCCGATAATTTTTTACTCAGATAGAGACGCCAACACATGCAAGTGAAAAGCTGCAAATTATGACCTTTGCTCGACACTCAGGGTCATTGCAATAGAACTTGGTCATTCAAGTTGCATTTCTGTTACAGGTATTACAGGTGTGAAATAAAGGGAGCTGATGGTGGACTGTTGGCGGGAAAAACAATTGCGATCAAAGACAACGTGTGTGTAGCTGGAGTTCCTATGATGAATGGAAGTAAAATACTTGAAGGTTTCGTACCTGATAGAGATGCCACAGTTGTTACAAGAATATTGGATGCAGGTACGAGTAGCAGCTAGTGAGAATTAGTAGTGGATGTTTGCGAGGAGCGCTGATTTATACAGTTGACGACTTACTTTTACACTATAGTGGCATTGGTAGTCATAGTAGTATTAGAATTTGCCGTGTTTTACAGTGGCGTAGCATCGTTTTTGAAAGTGGGGGGGGGGGGCAGCCAGAGACAAAAATTTTTTTACTAACCTTAAAAAGTTGACAAGCAAAAAAAAAGGAAAAAGTTGCCGAAGTCGAAAATCCTACTTCGTGGGGGGAGGGTGGGGGGTTAACTTTTTCTCAGTGTCAACTACTTTCAGTACCCATT